AAGGAGGATACTTGATATACCTAATGTTAAAATGTATTAATTTTAGGTGAAATAATAACATGGATTAATTCTAACCTGTGTGATGAAAGGACTAATCTTCATTTTTAAACGCATTAATTTTCCCAATCCTTTTTCAACCACTTGTGGAAACGATAGTAGCCTCAATGTGTGCCCAGTAGGTGCAGTATCAAACACCACAACAGAGAAGTTCATTCCTTTTACTAGCCTAGAATCAGCATGTAAAGGTATCAAAATAAAAAAAAAGAAAATAGAGAGTAAGATTTCAAATGTATCTGTAGGTTTAGTTGACCAGAAAGAGAGATTATCCTAATAGTGTTTTACAAAAATGAGAAATATAAAAACTGTAATTTTACTTCATAACTTCCGCATAGCTCATTGCCTCATCTATACCAGGAAATGCACCGACAATTTCTTGCATAACATTTTTGCTCAATCTCATCGCTTCTCCTCCTGAAACTATATATAATATGTCTAATATGTATATAATATAATAGATTCCTTTAAAATAACTCTACATACAACATTATTTCCTTTACTTCAAGTGCATAACAATTACATTATTACTATTATATATTTTGTTATAATTGTGTATATTTTTATTATTATATTGTTAATGAAAATTATTTGTCTAAAGTTACTTATGCAGACGTTGAACAGAAGCATTTTAAAAACAAACCTGCTTCACTGTCAAAATATTCCTCTGGTAATTCTGTAATACCAACATTAGGATCGATCTCCATTGCAAACAAATTGTCAAAATCTTTCACCTTAGTAGGTACTTTGCTAAATTTCTGATCAAATGCATCAGAGATATTGTGCGCTGGATCTGTGGATATAATAAGTACGCTCTCTCTAACTTTGGACAGCTGTACCGCCAGGGAACAACTGCAAAACAAAGATTTGGATTAGTCTAACTTTTTCAAGTGGAGTAACAAATAGGAAATATACAAGAACATTATTCTAAGTTTTATTCCAAGAAAAACTCATAAGTAACAAAAAGTATACTCAAAGGAAAATTTATCTGGAGAATCTTTTTCATAGTTTTGTAAAAAGAGAAAGAGAGATCTAGAATCTTCTATTTCATGTCAAAGTAATTTATGTGATAACAATATAAATAATTATATTTAATATTTATGCATAATAGTATAACATTTATATATTATTATATGATATATATAATATATATAAATAAACATATATATTATATATACACATAAAATTATATATATGCAATAATGCAGTGATAATTATAACTTTATTAAAGTGCAATGACACGACAGAAAATAAAGTAAAACAGTGAAAACTAGTGGACGCGATTGCATATGCTGATTCGATGAGATCATATACTCGTCGAGTAAGATCTTTACTGACTCTTGTCACCAGGATACGAGTGACAGGACGTTTCCAGGTTATGTATACCTGCAAGTTGTCTTCCCGACTCCGCCTTTGCCGCCCACGAATATCCATCGTAAGGAACGTTGCTCGATCACGTTCCTGATGGAGGACTCATACACCACCGTTCTCGTCGCCTCGTTCTCGGCAGTATTCATATTTGTCGACAGTGATAATGCGTAACCGGGGGAAATCTAGCGCATAACTCTCAATAATCGTCGCGTCAGCGTGTGCTGCGTGGCGTGTGCATCAGGCAAAATGCAAAAAGCGTGCACGGATCTCGGAGCGTAGTCGAAGTCGGGACTTGGGAGTTTGGACTAAACTACTAAAGCTTCGCGCACAACGTGGCGCGTCATTAAATGCCAAGATCTGCCCGTCGTAATTACACCTTCTGCACCTCGATATATTTTTTTTACTTTTTCCGGTTTTCTCTCTTTCTCTTTAAAATGTGAGCGTGTATTTCTTCCAATTTAATGCGAAAAAATATAGCACTTTGTAATCGTACTTGAGGATGATTTCGGCCAAACTTCGATTAACGTAAACCGCGGTGATTAATTTATTAAATATAATATCGATCTGTATTTTATTTTGTAAACATGATGATAGAATAGTTTTTATTGTTAATTATTTGCTGCTTTACATATGAAAAAATTGATTACATTAGGAACGAATTATGTAATTAGAAGTTTTGTGCAATTAAGTTTAATATATATATGTGTGTGTGTATATATTGTATATATATATATATATATATATATATATATATATATATATATATATGTCTATTTTTTACCAATTAATGTAGATTAATTTTAATCTCAGTTTAATTTACTTTTTATCTTTTCCTATAGTTCTAAGAAATTCTTTTCTAGTTCTAGTTAAACTTAAATTAAAGTATTAAATAATAAAGTTAATCGGGATGAGTTTGATCGATCGAAGTCCGCACTGATTATTATAGGTAAATGTTCCAATGGCCGACACGTTCCAGTGCAGTGTCCGACTACATTGAAGAAAAATATTTACTATATTTATTTAAACAATTAAAAATGAAAATAATAATTATTGTAAAAAAACTTTAATATTTAATGATTATAATTGGGAACAAGAAGTAAACCTAATTAAAAATTTGTGTATTTAAAGAAATTGATTAAATGAGAGCATGTGTCTGTTGTTTGTCAAAATGATTATATGGCCAATCGTTAACAAATTCGTTAAGCGTAAGCATATAGCTATAATAGTATGAAAATTGGATATTTAATATTTGTAAATAAATAATCAATTATCTAATTTTAAAGATTAGTTAGAAACTCGTTTTGACAAAATTTGTCCTAAAAATCACAATTAAAACGATATTTTTTACTGTCGTCCGGATACTCTGGTACATTAAAGTATCAGTGGTCCCAATCGCCGGACGTATAATGCGAACGCAATTTGTTAAAAAATGAGAGGTTATTAGTATGTCATGCAGTGTCGCCTGTTGGAATTGATAGATTTTTACGGCACAGATTAATCTGTGTTTACGGTAAGTGTAATAAGTATGTTTTTAAAGGCATTTAATTGCATGATATTTAAAATTGGACTACGAATGTCGCTCTGTGCAGTCATTTCATTAGCTAGATGAGATCTTGCGGCTATCTTATCTAACAAACATATTTGTTGTTGTAAAATATATTTAAAATGATCGCAGGTATAAACCTGAACTATGAATAATTAAATTAATTTTTATCTTAGGAATAGTTTACAGCGTTCCCCCGCCATTCTAATCGCGCTTTATTCCTTCTATTCGATATCTCGTATCGAACATAAAAAAGTTATCGAACAGTCGATAAATATATCGAGTATCGAGAAACGTTTTTAGACCGCGCAATCGCGCGGTGGAATCGATTGGGATGCGCCTGCCGCCCGTTGGCCTCCGAACTCCGATTACTCCGAAGTCCGACTCCGACTCCGACTCCGACAGCTCCGACCACGGCTCCGACTCCGACTCACTCCGACTCCGAACTCCGAGCCGAGTCGAACGTGTAGCCCAACTGACTAAGTGAGTAGCCTGTAGTGCCTGTACCCGTCTGTGGCGTCTGTACCGCGATGAGCTCGTAGCGGCACCGGCCGACCTGGAGATGTGGTGTCGCGCCGCGCGGTAGAGATCGAGAGTCGGTTAACGCGAGAACGAAGGGACGCTGTCACGGCTGTCGCCGTAATCCTCGCCGGAGCCGAGAGTAACGCGGGGGAGGCATGCCGCAGTTTCACAAGATCGAGATCAACAGGACGGAATGGGAGGTACCGGAGCGGTACCAGTTGCTCACTCCCGTGGGCTCGGGCGCCTACGGCCAAGTCTGGTAAGCGACAAGTGCCATCCGCAGCACGACGCACGACGTTGTTGGCACGATTCGTCAATCGTCGCGCGGTGTTACGTGCACGCGAGCGCAAGCGCGCGTCACGCAACCGCCGAAGGTGGAGAACCTTGGCGATGTATGTATGTGTGTACGGCAGAGACTCTGTCAAGAAGCTCTCGACCAAGTCGTAAAAAAGTTTTCCGATTTTGTCGAGATATCCTTTGAATGTTTTGCATCGCAACGCGCAGTTCTTAGACGTCTTACTTTGATTTTATATTTTTGTAATTTAATATATCTAATATAAATTTCATAATTTTGTTATAAAAATGTTCCTTATAAGCTTCTTGCACCTCTGTATCGTTCGGTTTGTTAACTGTCGTTCAGGGGATGATCGATCAATTGACAACCGGATGCAAAGTTGTTGGAACGAGCGACGTCCCGCACTGCTGGGGGCCATGAACCGATCGCAACCTTGACATTTACATTTTCGGCGTTAGAACGGCAAGATTGTCGCGTGACTATTCTCCGTCGTAGAAAAGAGCCCGGATATAATTATTGCCGGGGTTGCGTTAATTCCGAGAGGGAATTTTGCGCACGCGTCCGCATATTTACGAAAATAGAATGGATTTGGAACGACGCACAATGTTTGTCAATAACAATTGAGAAATAATGCGAATAACGCGAAATCTTAATTGTGATCAAAATTTGACTTACAATGAATCGAGCTTACAATTAAGCATTTGTTTATCCCGATTTGAAATAAAATAGTTTTGAAAGAAAAAGAAGAAAAAAAAAACAAAGTGCAGAAAATACCAGTAATATATCTATGAAGCTATATAAGCTATTTATTTATTTTACAATATTTTAATTAATGATATAATCGATTTACAAAAGTGTTAAAGTTTGTAACAATTAAATACA